CCAGGTTCTGACCACGCAGAGCCCACCTCACAGGCTGGTTCTGGGTCGTTTGGCTCATTTCCCTGGGCCGGGGCCACCGCCCTGTCCAGTGTTGGGTTTGGGGACTTTGCTTTCCCCACAGGGACCTGGGCCACCGTTTTGTGGGCCGGGTCTGGGTTCTCTGGTCCGTCCACCAGGACCAGGGCCACCGAAGGGTCCTGGAGACCCTCTGCTGCTGCTGCTCTTCTTTTGGAAAAAAAAAAAATTAATAAAGAAAAGTGGAAAGAGCTAGCAGCTCAAAAACATTGAAAAGCCACAAATTAGCCTCAGCCCAAGTGGTTCAATGAAGGGCTGTGGCCAGGGCATTCCAGAATTTTTTCTCTGAATTGTTTCATGACTGTCAATGAATTGTTTGATAATTCTTGTTTTCTTTAGCAATCCTTTTTTTTCAGAATTCTGCAAGCCTGTTTCAGGACCAAAAGGCACTTCCAGAGATGTCGAAGAGGAACATCTTCAGTCCATGGACTCTGTCCTGAAATTCAGCTGTTTGGACTTGAAACAATGAACATTCTTTGCATGAGTTTTTTACATTTTCTTATATTTTAAGATTGTTTTAGTGATATGATAGAATTTGATGTTTTACAGGTGACGAATTTCCCTGATGTTCTACAGGTGAAGAATTTCCCTGACCATTCCACATCAGCAGTTGATTAAGGTTTTGATTGGCAACAGGTGAACCTCAAGAAATGTTTGTTCTCTCTTCTGCAAGGGCCCAGTAGAAGAAATTACAAATATTCTTTTTCTATTTAATTTAATAAATTTAAAAGGGTGAAATGTAGCCATGATATTTTATGAAAAATCCTCTTCTAGGATTTTTCCCGTCCTGAGGAGCTGAGAGCCTCAGGAAAGAAATGTAAACAATAGCTATCTGTGGAATGCAACAGGTGCATCTTCCATTGGTCCATGTGGATTGTTTTCAATTAGTGACCAATCACTGCCACCTGTGCCAAGGCTGTGAGCAGTCACAAGATTTTGTTATGCATTTCTATTCTATTCTTGTTCTTTGTAGCCTTCTGATGTGTCTTCTCTCTCTGTTCTTTCAGTATAGTTTTAATGTAGTATTTTAATATAATATATAACATAATAAATCAGCCTTCTGAGAAAAATGGAGTCAAGCCTCGTGTCCTCACACATGGAAGGATCACCACAAGACTGCTACATCCACAACATCCTCATAGTTTGGAATAAAACAAATTTTAAGTGGTGTAGGTGCTTATTGATAAACCTGAATAGTATCTGCTCTGATCTAGTAAAGACAGCATTTTCCGCACATTTTGGGGGGAGATCATGTGTGGTAACAAAGCAGCTCATTTAGTCAGGTGCTCCTTCAGTGCCAAAACCCAGCAAAAGCCAGACAGCCTTGCTGGTAATGAGGGGGTTTCTGAGTGTTACCCAGAGGAAGCTGGGTTCGCTGGCCCTGCAGAGCCCAAGGAAGAGGCCATGGAGGTCACCTACCCTGGCAGTGCAGCTCTGTGTTTCTTCATGGTTAGGAGATTATTCAGGAATATGTTCTGGATCATGGATTTCCTGCTGGCACTCTAAAGCAGATACATTTCTCTCAAAAACTAACAGGTTAGAAGAGCCATGTAAAGCTATTCAGCCGTGCTGATATACCTCAGTCTGCATCTGGCAAGATCTGGTCTATTTTAGCGACCTACACTTGTTCTAAGCACTTAGAGGTTTAGAGTCTGACCTTCAGCTGAGTTGAATTTAGCTTAAAAACGGAGAATGAAACTCTGGCAACTGTAATATTCTTAAAGAGGTGTAGTGTGAGTTAATACCCCAGTTCTTGCATTCCTCCCCCTGTGCTCCTGTCTCCTCAGGACAGGTTTGGACATCGAAACCACCTAAAAAAGGCAGCCACCTTCAGTTCTCTCCTGGCCCCTTTCCAGGCTAGTACTGGCCATACTAGCTTGGGCTCTAACCCAACCCTTTTTTCTACATTCCTTTACCCTAAACTTCCATGCACACCTATTAGACAAGTTGGCACTGGCTACATGGCTGGATTTCCCAGTTTGAATGCTGTGAGGCACGTGGTTTCCCCACCTTGGCACACAACACAGTGTTTGGGATCCTCCCTTCCCATCCCCTCCTCTACCTCGGACCATCACCCCCGCGGCAGGCGCTGACTCCGTCCCCACCCTCCTCGCGGTGCCGAGCTACCTCGCTGCACACCCTGTTCCCACAGGGCCAGTCCCTCCCGCAGCGACTACCGTAGCTGCAGAGCCAGCCTCATCTCCTGACGCGTGGTCTTCGCCCATGCTGGCACCTCCCCCCTCCCATTTCTCTCCTCCAGTTCCTCTAATCACCCATCCTGTCTCCCATTCACCTGTTAATGAAGCTGCCCCCGCCTCTCAAATTTTCTCACTCCCCAGCCCCATCCCCTCTGCGGGGGGGGTGTGGGGGGAGGGGGTGTGCGCGTTCTCTGTCCCGCTCCGCGCCCCTGCCTGCCTTTGCTCTGTGTCCTCCTCTGTAAGATCGTGTCTCGACGGACTCTTTGGGTCCACTCCAACTAGCTATGGACCCTATCCCACATGATCTTACATGGATGAAGGCAAAAGACGAGAAGCGCTCTTCTCCATGTGGGAATGAATGTCCTCAGTTTATTGACTTGAGAACCACCACATGGAAAAACCTGCATTGGGAAGAGCCCTAGGGTGCATGGCGGGAGACTTTTATACCTGGGGGAAATAGGGGTGGAGGAAGAGGTTCACAGACAATGGGATACCACTAAGGAGGGCTGAGGGGAGGGACTGACCAGGGAATAGTCCACCGGGGGGTCTTGGGCAGAGGGGTGGGTGAGGGAGAGACCATGTGATGGAAGAGGGGAATAACGAACCATATGATATAACACAAACTATTCAGTGCAATATAAAGACTACTCAGTGCAAATCTCAAGTCACCCAGTGCAAAACAACAACTAAATAAACTATTTACTGGCAATACAACACTCCTTGCTTCCGGCCTGCACCCAATCCTCCCGTCCCTCCAGAGCCAAGCTCCACTCCACCTATGCCTGGCTCGGCTCCCGTGCTGTCTGTCTCAGATGCTGTGGGTCCTGCAGCTGCCGCGGCTAGGCTGGGTCTTTCTCCCGTGCCGGCACCCTGCCCCCACTCCTCTCTGGTCACTCCCAGTTCCCACGCTGGAAACGAAAGTGACCCTGGTCAAAACACACCCATTGTGGATATCAGTAACCCCTCTCCATCAATAACCTCAGACAGAGTGTATGCTTCAATATCTACAGGCGTAAGCATCAAGCGGTACATCAAACAGCCAAATACAGCACCCAAAGACCCTTCTCTTAAGCCTCTGAGACAGCAAAAAAACCAGGCTTGGGTGGCGTGGAAGAAGAAAAAAGACTGTGTCCCTCCACTACTTCATAAGTGTATAAGACTTCTTGTTCTATATGTGTGAATTTCATGTAAAGATATATACCAATGTTCAATTGCTCAAACACACACAAGTCTTAAAAAAAAAACCCCATAGCTTCTTTTATAGCTATTTCTTGTCAGTTATTAAGAATGCTTTCAGTTTTCAAAATTATATTATAATCTAACAGCACAACTGTGCCTCCTTTTTATAAGGATATGTTATGGATGGATAATGAGATGATTGGCTCTCACAGTCAAGTCTTAAAAAAAAAACCCCATAGCTTCTTTTATAGCTATTTCTTGTCAGTTATTAAGAATGCTTTCAGTTTTCAAAATTATATTATAATCTAACAGCACAACTGTGCCTCCTTTTTATAAGGATATGTTATGGATGGATAATGAGATGATTGGCTCTCACAGTTAAGGGATAACTATTGTGTGACTATTAAGAAAAGCTTTACTGATGTATAGTTATGTTAAAAAGAATGCGTGCAGATGTGTCCCTTGCATGGAGCAGTTGGGAATGGAAAAGCTTGTTACTAAGGGGGTGGGGCATGGCAACACCTGATCTCCAGTCATATTACAAGAAAGCAGACTCCACCGATAAATGGCAAAGAAGAGCTGACTGACAGACTTTGGGAGGGGCCAGGGCTGGCTGATACAACCCCTAGGGGGATAAAAGACTGAGCATCCATCTTGAAGATGAACTGGCCATGTGGTATCCGTGAGAGCAGTTTCCAGCGCTGTGCATTTTTCCTTATATAGTCCTTTTGTTGTATTTTTGCCAAGGTTTAATAAACCTTTATTAAACCTTAATAACCCCTTAATAAACCTGTTAAGTGTCTGCAGAGGTCCAATGGGGATGTCTTCATAGTAAGAAAAACAGGGGAGTTGTGGAATCCTCTGACTCTTCCCCCTCACGGAAACCCCCACGGCCTTGCCTTGGAAGAATATATCATAGAGTTTTCCTTACTTATGCTGCTAGAGGGGACTCAGCCCATGGTGCTCAGCAGCACTACTGCCAATCTACACTAGATTGCCTCCCCCACTGGCCAGTTGACACTGCCCACCCAATTATTCATCCCTCATTCCCCCTAAATCCCCAAAGGTTGCTGCCATTTGCCCACCCCTGTGCCCTCAGGTCACTGGTCACTGACCCCATTCTTAAGTCATGCAGACCAGATGGTTTGGTCTTTCAACTCTGGTCCTTTTGGCATGGTGGATGCAATAAACCTTCACTAGAATATATAATGTAAAGACCCTTCTTGTCTTTCCTCTGCTGAGCTATCTGTGGCATGTATGTGTGCATGGACTTGAAATGGCTGATCTTATGGCCTTACTCTGAGCAGCTTCTGAAGGGGATGTTTCAAAGAAGTTTGCAGCGTTTCTACCACCCGGCCACGCTGCAACAGGGAATGGTGTGGTTCTGCCAGCTGGGACTGGGGCCAGGCTGCAAGGACACACGTGGGGGACTTGGCTCCCCTTTGCAAGGCTGGAGAGTTTCAATTTGGGAAGAGGGACCGGTTCCTTACAGATGTGATGTGGAAACAACAGAAACCAGGTCATTCTGTGCTGCTTTCTGGTAGCCAAATGGCAGCAATGAAAAGTGAGAAACCTCCTACACCATCCAAAAGCTGCAAGGTATCCTTACAAGTGATACCTATTTGATACCTATTCTGGCCAAAAGCCCCTGGGTGTTGCTGTGAGAAAGAGAACAACTTTGGAATCAGGGTCTGTAGTCTTCATATTAGATATACTGGAAAGGCTGCTACTTGCACAAAAAAAACCCAACCAACCAACCAAATAAACAAACAAAACAAACAAACAAAAAAAAAACCCCACCAATGCTTTCTGTTTAAAGAAGCTAACTTGTTTAATGAGGCAGAAAAGTTACTAATGTAGTCGTTACATTCCTGGACTGTGCATGTACTTACCCTCTTCCGTCTCTGTCAAATAAAAGTTCTGAATAGATTGTTTTTGGGCTGCTGGCATGGAAACCAGTAAAATAATATTTCTGTAGAATGTAACCTCTTCTGCTTTAACTTCTGCAACTTTGTGCTGATTAAAATAGAGGTGGAATCTTAATGGAAACATTTTACAGAAGTTCTGGCCCAGAATGTTCACAAGATGAGTTTAAATTTAGGTACAAATTCAAACACAATGCTTGATTTTCAGAATTTATCCTATATTTTACACAGCTAAACGCTTAAAGCTATTTGAAGGAACATAATTTTAGATCTGTAACACATAAAAATGTTGCCTACAGTATTTTTTCCTGATGATCAGAGATAGAGTCAATGATATCTAGGAATTGCATGAGATGGTATTTACTTATTTGAATCAGTTTTAAATCTCACCTACAGTCTTCTTCAGTAATACTATGCTTGTATCAGATTAATTTAGCCTGTATATGTAATCAATGTACATCTTTAGCAGCTACAGCTTCTTCTGGCAGCATTTCACTTGCTTTTTTTAACCTGGCTCCTATTGCCTTCACCTGATACTCCGTCATTTTTCTTCTGTGGGAAAGTGAGTCTTATCCATCTTCTCAATGTCACTTGTGATAGTTCCAGAACTCTGTCAGATTTTTTCCCTGCTCTGATCACCTCCCCCTTGGACTGCTCAGTGCCACCTTACTGAGTGTAAAATCCACAGCCTCCACACTTGTACTTCTGTTGGGAAGGATGTATGTGCAGCTGACTATGCTTTGATAAAGGAAGCTACTACTGATGTCAAAGTCCATTTTGGCCATATTCTGTGACTTTCTACTGCTGCACTTCATAGGTGACTGTTTAAGTTGTCTGCATTGCTAATTTTTCATTTTATTAACCGCTCTGCTCCCCTTGAGGTGTCTTGGCTTCTCCTGGATGAGTGTCCACAGCCACATCTTTAGTTTCCTTTACTTTCTAGGAATATTCTCTGTATGCTGCACGTCTCTATGATGCAGAAAACCCACAGACCCTCTGAGAGGCCTTTCAGGACTTTGTATTGACTACTGCTCCGAGTTTCACCTCCACTGCTTCTCTGCCATCCACCTGCTGACCAGTGACAAGCACATCCAGGAGTGCTGTGAGACAAACAGGAACCACTTCTGCCACCTCCTGCAGTTCCAGGATGAGAATTACTGCTTCCCCCAGGTGCTGCAGAGCTTGGCCCTGAGCCGTAGCCTAGGCTCAGTGCTGGAGAATCGTGGAGGCTGTGTCCAGCTGTGCCTGGCTGAGGTTGCCAGTGGCCTGAGAAACCTAGTGCTGATGGCCCACGCTGCTGACTGGACCCACTACACCTTCATAGCCGAGCAGCTGGGCCTTGTCTGGGTTTCCCTACCCAATGGCAGCCAGCTGGAGTTGCCATTCCTGGATATTCAGAGCATAGTGCTGGCGACCCTGTGGCTGGGGGATAAGAGGGGTTTCCTGGGGATGGCTTTCCACCCCAAGCACAAGGACAATGGGAAGTTTTATATCTGTTACTCATACATGGCTAAGACATGGCTAAGAACTGAGTGGAAAAGATCAGATGCAGTGAATTTAAGGTTTTGGCATCTGATGCCAACAAAGCTGACCCAAGCTCTGAAAGGTAAAGTTCATGTTGAATGCTACTGTATGCCATGATGAGAAATTGTTTTTCTCTGTCCCTGTTCAACCCCCAATATCAACACAGGCTGGGGACTGAGAGCAGCCCTGCCAAGAGAGACTTGAGGGTGCTGGTGGGTGAGAGGCTGGACATAATCCAGCAATGTGAGCTTGCAGATGAGAAAACCTAACATGTCCTGGGCTGCATCCAAAGATTTGTGGCCAGCAGATCAAGGGAAGGGATTCTGCCCCTCTGCTCCACTTTCAGGAGGTCCCACCTGCAGTGCTACATCCAACTCTGGGGTCCCCAGCACAGGTCACAGATCTGTTGGAGAATACAGTGGAGGCCACCAAGATCATCAGAGGGATGAAGCACCTCTCCTATGAGGACAGGCTGAGAGAATTGGGAGTGTTCAGCCTAGGAAAGAGAATGACTTGAGGTGACCTCATGAAAGAGAGAGTAGGAGTAGGGGGGGAAAGGAAAGGAGCCTCTGGAGTCAAAGATCAAATCTTCGTAGAAGTGTGATTGATGCTCATTTATTGCTAATCTAAGGGTACCTTTATATCATAAAGCAGGCTTCACATGACACAGGGATGCATCCAATTGGTTAACAAAGCACTGTGTGTAAAACAAAGAGTATTTCTTAACATATCTTGGTCATGTAGCTTAGCTTGGCATCATTATCAGAACATCTTGCTACTGATATTCTTCTCACATCCTCAGACCATCCTTTTCCCCTTGGGTACAGCTGGGAAACTTTCCCAAGGGCAGTGTTCTCTTCTGCTAGCAGGCACGTACACAGAGTGTCAGCAAGCATGCCTCTAAATTCACAGAATGTCTTTTGTTTGCATACAGGGTTGTGCACATAGGCTACAGTGTCTGCCCAAAACGCTCTCTAACAGTGACCTCATTACACTCTTCCAGTACCTGAAGGGAGCCTACAAGAAAGATGGACAGAGACCATTTACAAGAGCATGTAGTGACAGGACAAGGGGGAAAGATTTAGATTAGATATTATGAAGAGGGTGTGGAGGCACTGGCAAAGGTTGCCCATAGGAGTTGTGGATGCCCCCTCCCTGGAAGTGTTCAAGGCCAGGATAGATGGAGCTCTGAGAAATGTGGTCTAGTGGAATTTGTACACTGCCCATGGCAAGGGGTTGGAACTTGATGATTTTTTAGGTCTTCTCCAATTCAAGCTGGTCTATGATCCTATTATTCTTTCCACTGGCAGAACCTGTACATTCCCAGTCATTCTGGTTCAGGTGTGTGACTGGCCTGCTATGAAACTACCAGAATCAGGTTGGCTCAAGATCACACAGAAAACCAAAATGGATTGAAAAGACTCAAGAATAAGGTTGTCTTCTTTCTCCATCTTGTACTCTTGTCTTCTAAAGAGCAGTAACAGCCTTTAATCTATTATGAAATTAACATCTTCCCTATGAGGTTTGTACTGTAGAAGAGGATGTCTCACTACAGTACTGTACACTTATTTATCAGTCGTGTGTGCACCTGCCCTGTGTACACCTGTATGCACCTGCTCAGATAAAAGCTTAAGCTAGTTCTTATTTTTTTTTTAAATTATTTTTAAGGATTCTCCTGTAGCTTGAAGAACCAGCTGCAAATCACAATGATGGGCAGCTGCTTTTGGTGTGGATGGCTATTTGTATGTGTTCACAGGGGATGGAGGGAAAGCTGGAGACCCTTTTGGAAAACTTGGGAATGCTCAGAACAAATAAGTAGGAGGGCAAATGAAAGCTTTGAGCTTGTTCACTGAGGTACAAGGTTTGGAAAGGCGAAAATGTGGAAGAATAGAGTAAGAGTGCTTCCTGAAAATGCTCATGCATCTGCAAGTCTGTCCAAAGCAGTATTTCAAAAATGAAAATTTGACATGTTTAAAGTCGTTTAGAGAAAAAGTTGTTTAGAGAAAAGAGTTTCCTGGCTTAAGCGGGTTGCAAGACATACCAGCCTCTGGTTTACTTCTTTTAGGCAGATAACTTTTCCTTTGAAAATGGGCAAGGAGAAGAAGGTAATTTTTGTGTTTTCAGATGGCTCTCATGCTGTGGTTTCTTTTTCTGCCTTCTCTTTAGGAGCACTTTGTTGGGGAAAGTGTTGAGGATTGATGTGGATGGAAGAAGCCCTGATGGAAAGCCTTACTGCATCCCTCCTGATAATCCATTAGTGTCTGATCCCAAAGCCTGCCCGGAGGTTTATTCCTATGGGGTTAGGAATATGTGGTGTTGTGCAGTGGACAGAGGGGACCCTATCACAAAAAAGGGAAGAGGGAGAATATTCTGTGGGGATGTCAGGTAGAACAGGTTTGAGGAAACTGACCTCATTGTTAAAGGAGGGATCTATGGCTGGAGAGCAAAGGAGGAGTTTGAATGCTACGACATCTTGTATTTGCAGGGTTCCCAGACAAATGAAGGAATGATGAATCTGACTCCATGTTCTTAGAAGACTTATTCATTATTTTATGATATTATATTATATTAAAGAATACTAAACTAAAACTATACTAAACTATACTTAAGAATACAGAAAGGATACAGACAGAAGGCTAAAAGAATACTAATGAAAAACTCATAACTCTCTCCAGAACCTTGACACAGCTGGCCGTAATTGGCCAATAAGTAAAAACAATTCACATGCAACCAATGAAACAATCACCTGTTGGTAAACAATGTCCAAACCACATTCCAAAGCAGCAAAACACAGGAGAAGCAAATCAGATAATTATTATTTTCATTTTTCTCTGAGGTTTCTCAGCTTCCCAGGAGAGAAATCCTGGTGAAGGGATTTTTCCAGAAAATATGACGGTGACAACACCACAAAGCTTTGCCACAACCCCTCCATGGGTAAGGAAAAACTTTCTTGTAGAAGATTACTATGTGTGTATATTTAGTGGACTATAGCACTGTTTTTCCAGTGAAGCTAAATAATCCAGTATTGTATATTAAATGGAATTTGTCTGCTTTTTAAGATCAGGAATCCCTTCTCCCCAGCCCTGCTGTGTTGCTATGGAATGATACTTGGCGTAAAAACAATTCACATGCAACCAATGAAACAATCACCTGTTGGTAAACAATGTCCAAACCACATTCCAAAGCAGCAAAACACAGGAGAAGCAAATCAGATAATTATTATTTTCATTTTTCTCTGAGGTTTCTCAGCTTCCCAGGAGAGAAATCCTGGTGAAGGGATTTTTCCAGAAAATATGACGGTGACAACACCACAAAGCTTTGCCACAACCCCTCCATGGGTAAGGAAAAACTTTCTTGTAGAAGATTACTATGTGTGTATATTTAGTGGACTATAGCACTGTTTTTCCAGTGAAGCTAAATAATCCAGTATTGTATATTAAATGGAATTTGTCTGCTTTTTAAGATCAGGAATCCCTTCTCCCCAGCCCTGCTGTGTTGCTATGGAATGATACTTGGCTTATCCTGAGACATACCATATCCTGCCACACACTGTACCGGACAAGGTGTTTAAATTCAAAGCCTGTGTCTTTTGTGGACAAATTTCCCAGTAAAGCCAGGAGGACAATGGATTTGATTTAAGTAGAAAGTGATACTGTATTTTCTCCGGAAGCTCTGAGCCATGACTGTGGCTAAGGACAGAGGACAAGACTGATGCTGGGACCCTGAAACAAACCCTGTGGCAGATGTAGTGTCTCCCAGCCAGCAAAGTGCTGCAGGAGAATTCCCAGAAGCCGTGCTCTGTGTCTGACTGTGGGTGTGATGGACAAAACTCACTTGTTGCCTTTGAAAAATAGAAATTGGTGGTCTTTGCAAAACTCTTGGCAAAAGCATGGTAGAAGAACTGAGTATTATTATAAAGTTCCTTGGGTGAAGACACCTGGTCTCAAGGTCATGCAGATGTTCCTGGAACACTTGGATGAGCAGACAAGCATAGAGTATGTATTACTGCCATTAAAGCAGGGAAAAAAGTGAGGACAAGAATAAAATTCGGTGGAATCTGATAATTCAATATAAGAAAGGGCTGAATTCAATTTTAACATTGCCAGAGGCAGAGTCTTTATTTTACAAGTCTCATGACATAAAATAGCAAGAGCACACTCATTTATGCTCTGTGTTGTGTCAGTGAACCCATGAAGATGTTGAGCTCACTTGCAGTTTTGATCTTTTTCCCTTCTCTAAAAATACTGGAATTAGTAAAGATGATCCCTGCTAAAGTGATTGGTACAGTCACATATAAGTAAGACAACACTTGCTGCAGGCTGATGCCTTCTTGCATTGCTTCTTGATGTAGAGAATCTTGGTTTTTTTTCTTATGGAAGCTCATCATGACTAAGCCTTGATAAGCAACTACACAGAGATGTCCGTAAAGCCCCTGGGTCAGTTCTGTCCCAGAGTAAACTGCTGAATTACCAATGCAATTTTGCTAAAGTTAAACTGTATTTGTCCTTCTAGTAATTTTTGTACCTGTCAGTATCATTGAGCAACTACTTTTTGATGTTCTCTGAAAGTAAACATTTTACTTTGTATTTCTGTGTGTTTGACAGATGACATTCTGCCAATATTTGCATATGGTCGCAGTGTGGGCAAGTAAGTTACTGGAGGCTTTGTCTACAGGGGATGTGAATCACCCAACTTGAATGGCCTTTATATTTTTGGTGATTTCTGTGAGCTCCCCAAGTGTGGAGACGCAAGGCTTGTCTCCATTTTCAGAAGGCTGGTTTATTATATTATGATATATATTATATTAAAATACTACATTAAAACTATACTAAAAGAACAGAGAGAAAAGATTGATCAAAAGGCTTGAAAGAACGAGAGTAGAACGAATAACAAAATCTTGTGACTCTCAAGAGTCCGATGCAGCTGCATCTATGTTTGGCTCTTAATTAGAAACATCTACCAATCACAGATGCACCTGTTGCATTCCACAGCAGCAGATAGCTATTGTTTACATTTCTTTCCTGAGACCCTCAGCTCCTCAGGAGGGAAAAATCCTAGCAAAGGATTTTTCATAAAATATCATAGCTACAGATTTCATGAGCGAGTGAGTCTGTTTCCTCTGCAACTCCTATTCTGTACCCACATTTTCCATGTCTAGGCAAGTAAGTATATTGTAGCATCCCGAAACCTTTTGAGCTGGAGTAGATGAGAAACTTGGACATAGAGTAAGTTCTGTTTGACTATTACAACAACATTTTTGCTGGAATCTAAACTTCCTCCATTTCAGAATCCTTAGTATAAGTTTGCTTTTGTTCAGATCTGTTTCTCCAAAATCCAGCCAACAGTCACAGTCTTCACTGACTGCTTTTTTTGTTTCAGTAATGCATGATTTTGACAGGAACTAGTTTTGATGATGGAGACATAAAACACAGGGTTTTATTTTTTGTGTAGTCGACTTATGGCTTTACAAGAAGGTGAGAAGACAAATAAGTGGAAGAAGCAGGATATCTGCATTGGCAGCACAGCAGCTTGTGCTTTCCCTGGAATGATCAATTCCTAGAGCAAATAATTTCATCATCTCGTTTGCTGAGGATGAAGCAGGTAGGTATCATGCTGGCCACACCTTCAATAGAAACCATACAGTCTGTTCTCTACTGTAGGGAAAATGTGGAATATCCTGTGACTCCTGAGGGGTGCCTATAGAGTAGGCAGTGCAGAGAGGTTTGTGACTGGCTCAGCATGGCAGGTGGGTCAGGGAGGTCTCCTGCCCTGTGAAGCTGTTGCAGATCAGGTTGATGGAGAGCTCAGGAAACTGAACCTTATGTGAAACTTTCCTTTTGTTGTTGGTCTTTTGTATGCTTTCACTAATCAAAAGACCATATCAATGCAGTTCACTTTTTCATTATACCATCTCATCCTCACTTCAGTTCTTAGAGCTTTTCTGAACTTCTCCTCCTTCCTTAGTATAAATTCCTCAGTCTTATTCACAACAATCCACAATTCACACTGTGGATCATAGACCAGGACTTTATTTGGGGATCAGGAAAGCCACTCATTTAAAAGTTTAGTGTGAAGTCCTCAGCACATGGGACACTACTAAGGTCACAAGAACCAGATCTCTCACCAAGGTGGAAGTACCAATGAACACTGTTTGCTCTTCTACAGCCTCCTGACAGAGCTATGTAATACAAAAAGAAGCTGCAAGTTTTTGGAAAGTACAATATATTCTGTCAGAGCTGCATGGACATGCAGGCTTTGCTGTGAAATGTGGAGTGAGTGAATGTGAAATGTCTCTTCTTCTGGTGGCCTTTTAGAAACCAACATGATATTATGTAGTTTGAAAGACAACAACAGCTTTGCCTCTTGCAAGATACTCTAATTTCCCTTTTCCCTGGATATTGTTCTAGTGAGTGCTGAAGGGAAGGCACAAGAACCATTTGTCTTCCACAGTTACCAGACAGAAATGAGAAGCTTGTCTCCCACAGATTAGCCAGTGTAGCTCTTGCTGATTTTTTCCCTTTTTGGTATGATTATGAAATGGAAAATATATTTCTTGTGTAGTCTTCCACTCTATTTGTAGTTTCTGGCTGCTTCTTTGGTACAAGCAAGTTTTAAGAAATATGTATTTATACAGAGGAAAGCAACCTTTTGAGAGCCACAGAGGTGAGGTAATGAAGGTACTGCTTGAAAGAGTGCTGCTGATTCTGTGTGGAACCCTGTTGCAGTCAGGAGGTCATTTGGTGTTTCTGGGAGCCCACTGGCACAGGGCAGGGTGAGAACAAAGCCATTTCTTGGACATAAGGCATGGCTGAGGGGGTAACAGGAAGAGTTTCCTTTTCTGACTACTTGAATTACTGAAAAGCCAGGAAAGAGGGAAATGGAGAACTGGGATCCAGCTTGGGCACTTGAATCTAAGACCAGTTTTCTTTTTTCACTTCCATTTAGGTGAACTGTATTTTATGTCTATTTATTATCTCAGTGCCTATACACCATGTGGTTTGCTCTACAGGCTCATTGATCCTGGAAGGTTTGTAATTAAAGATGAATTTCCATGCCAAATTCTTCTGTAATCACCACTCTCCAGCTATCACAGTAAAAGAATGCCAAGTACTACTGATACAGTATCACTGACATCTGCATCCAGTCCTTGGGTTTTGTTTACACACTGCACCTCTGGTGCAACTTTAATCAGTTTGAGTGAATTTGTTCCTCACTCATCATATCTGTGCACAGAGAAATAAGAAATAGAGTTCAAATTCCTTGAAGATCTGGGAGAGTTAAGGATTAAAAGAAAGTTTCCTTGGTTGCATATCTGAATTACAGCAAAGCAATGTCTTAAAAAGGACAGTCCATGCCCTTTAGGGTCATTATCTTAAATATCTATGATGCACATTAATATAAATAATAAATGGTTATAAATAAAAAATGCAGATTAGCCAATTTTAATAAAAATATGAAAAATAAAATTTATTTCGCGACCGTAAAAACAGTCTCGGCAGCCACCACCAAAACGGACAGCGTACCACACCCGGGAAGTGATGCGGGTGAACGTGAGGAAAAGACCAACTGGTGCCTGACCTCCCCGTCCACACCAACTGCTTCAAGGTAGCAGTTCTTATATAGTTTATTTTGCCCGCGGCAGGAAGTCTTTGTTTCCTTCTGAGTTCTTCATATTCAAGTTGGTTTCTTTCTCTGGACAAAGCCTCCTCCGGGAGTAGAATGATCCATTTCCCTGGTTCCCGGAATCTGGCATTCAAATTCAAGGTGTTGATGGTCCTGGTCTCCTCAGATAGGCATCTTGTCTGGGCCATCAGCACCTGGCGTCTTTGGGCATAGGTGCTGTTGAACTCTTATCCTGGGTGCAGCTGGAGTCCCCTTTCGGATGCAAATGCCGTGATGACCATCTGCCAGGTTTCGTGGTTTTGTGGTTATCTTGCCTAGATTTCCCAACCTGAAGGAAAAAGGGATTCTTCCCCCCCCCTCCACAGTTTATTTCATACACATATATATTTTATACAACGTTTATTTCCACGAATTACTAACTATATTCCTAACATAAATAAATAGCACTCCACAGTTTTCTTCATGAAGATGAGAGAAACCTGGTGGTTCATGCAGTGCTCAAATAATAACTGGAGCCTGAACCTGAGTTTTCCCAAGCAAAATGTTTTTCCCCATCAAGCAGTTATCCCTGCTAAAGTCAGTTTTTGCAACAATAAGCACACTTAGGTATTTTTTTTTGCCTCCCTAGCTTTCCCATTTTGCTAAAAAACATTAAATGAGTTTCAAATCACTGTAAAGTAGATAGAGTACAAATGTGTTTGTGTTTTTGCAGAGATCTTGGACTTCACAAACTGAAGAAAACAAGCAATGTTTTCTTGAGAAGTTAGATCCAAAGCTAGGTAGTTAACTCAAACTATGTACCAAGGTGATGGGAACAGAACTTGAATCTTTTACTGCTCGAGGAGATTTCTACCTTGTTAGAGATATAGTTAGTAATTCATGCAGGTAGTTATATAAAAGGAATATGTATAAAAGCATCTCTAATTTATTGTAAGCAGACAGAAAACAAAGTGGCACCTTTTCTTGCTGGTAATTTGGAACTAAATGGACATACAACCATAATAAAACAGACTTGTAGCTTTTAGAAGGGAGAAGACTATGATTTTTTACAATATATTTAAAACAAACCTACTGTACCTAAGGGAAAGGAGAGGGAGGAATTTTTATCCTCAGGATGGCAAAACCACGGCAGATGGACAAAGAGGCACCGCAACACTTACATGCGAAGGAAACCCCGGCTGCACAGGAGATGGGCATTCACTAAAGCATGTGCCCAGTGACGCCCAAGAGATGATGGCCCGGACAAGATACCTATCTGAGATAACCAGAGCCATCAACACCTACCATCTGAATGCCAGATTCCGGGGAATCGGGGAAGTGCATTAATCAATTCCTGGACGAAGGCTTTGTGCAACCCAGACCGAAGAAAGAAACCAACTTGAATATGAAGAACTCAGAAAGAAACAAAGGGACTCTGCTGCGGGCAAATTAAGGAGTATAAGAACCACTGCCTCGGAGCAGCCGGGGTGGATGAGGGGGATTTGGTGCGATAGAGGCCATTTTTCACGGTCCCCTGCTTACCTCCCGGGAGTGTTATGCTGTCCGTTTGATTGTTGGATGTTGGGACTGTATTACGGTCTCAAAATAAATTCTTTTTTATATTTTTGTTATAATTTGGCATATTTTCATTTTTACTTATAACATGCCTTTAACAGCTTATCATCTGCCAGAAAATGCATTAACTGTGAGGGACCAAAATGTAACATTTTCAACTAAAATATATATGTATATGTGTGTGTGTGTGTGTGTGTGTGATCTTGCATAAACATCAAGAGCTTGAGCAGAATGTATTTATCAAAACAAATATATCTTTGTTGTCTGTTTGGCGCTCCTTAATGTGCCATGAAGACCCTGTGGTTTTGAAGCTTTGTGTCCGTCACTGCTGGAACAGGACCAGGTATATTACTGCATGGGTGACGCCTGATGAAGGGGAGAGAAAATGATGCATCTGACTCCATCATCAGAAGGCTAAAGAATTACTTTATTATTCTATACTATATACATTGCATCTAAAGTGAATCTGCCTTGCACTCACCCTTGCTCCCAACTTCACAGAACTGCACTCATCTCTATTCTCTCTCGTGACTGTCTGCAGACAGTCCTGACACAGACACACTCTTGGCCCTGATAGACCAAGAGAACAAAACATCATCACTTTGGGTAAACAATCTCAACATTGCATTCTACTTTAGCACAGCAAGCAAGACAAGAATTATGTTTTTCCTTCTTCTCTGCTTGTCTCACAGCTTCTCTCTGTTCAGAGGGCATGTGAATACCACACAGGCACTTACTGCCCTGGCTCTTAAAATGTCTTCCTGCACTTTCCGGTTCCCCTTCTTTGCCTTAGCGCGCCTGGGGCTGTCAGCTCTGCCCTGGTCTGTTTACACTTTGCAAGCGTGCCCAGGCTGTGCAGAGCTACTCGGAGCCTGAACAGGCTCTGGAGCATAGTCCTGACACATCCAGCTCTTGGAGTGACTCTGGTCTCCTTATGAACCTTTCTCCTTTGATTTTACTGCTGTTTATAGGACTTTTCCTGGGGATATCTGGGTTCTCTTATGGGCTCAGTCCCAGGCAGTGAATCCAGCATTCCCTGCCTCCTACCCACATGGCAGGAAGTGTGCTGGTACGAACAGCAAGCCACACAAACTGCTTCCAAAACATTGCCAGGGCCACTGTCATGTGGCCGATGGCAACTCAGATTTCCCGAGGAACCTGCCAGGAAAGCTGATGGCAGCAGTGCCGTTCGTCCCAAGTTTGGCTTGCATCTGGAGCAGTACTCTTGGAGACAGCAGGGTGGCACCAAATTCCTTCTGTGCTGAGCAGAGAGAAAACGAGTTAGAATGTAATTTTAAAATCAGAGAGGAGAGAGATGAAGGGAAAAAAACTCCACAACCCACCAGAAATCCCCACAAGTAATACCTGCAACGCTGCTTTAGTAACGTTTTTCAAAAAATTGAAATGGTGTAGAGGAAGTGCTTGGTTCTTGCCACTGTCTGAAGGTGAATGCTAATCACAAGAAAATATTATGCCTTATGTTATGAATAGAAAATCGTATTTTTTTAAGTTTCAGAGTTAAAAAAACCAAGCCAGACCGAGTCAGACTCCTTTGGCTTCGCTCTTCAAATACCTGTTAATGGCAGGTGATTAACTGATTGTTTCCCTGATGCTGGCCGCATGCCAAGAAGATACCAACAATTGTACTCCAAAACAGACCTAGACACCAGCGAGAGTGAAATGCTACTAAAAGTCCAATTTGTTACTAAATCTTGGCCTGATATACGGAGAAAACTGGAAAAGATAGAGGATTGGCAAGAAAAAGATATTAATGAGTTATTGAGGGAAGGTTTTTACAAGAAAAAAACCCCTAAAATCACGAGCCAACAAGTGACTTAAGTGACGTCTAAGAATGGGAGCATAGTCCAGTACCTGCTTGGACCTTTTTATTTTCTCACCCTAACCTGAAAAGAAACTGATTAAAGAGACCCCCCGGGTTTCTAAACAAACAAAACAAGGACTCAACGACTCTCCCGTGAGGACAGAGTCCCCAGTTCTGTCTGCAGACCAGCGGACAAAACTGCATCGTCCTCCTCCTTCGTGCCACGCCTGGGAGCAATGGCGGCGAGGGCGCAACCTGTCGATTTCTCCCCACCTGAGCTGATTCTTCTTAATAAAGGCATTAAAAAGGAGAAAGATCTCCTGCCCATTTATTTCACCTTAGATCATGCTTTGTTTTGCTTGGTGCTGTCAAGCATGCCAAATTGGAAGAACCTGCTCTTATTTGTCCTACAGCAGTTCCCTTGGTGGGTAACAGAGAATACAGGTGTGTTGTGGTTCTTTGTACCTCTCTTCCTGTCACTTAATGTGCAACATCTTTACCTCAGGGAAAATGTGTTTGATTGGTTTTTGTTTTGGTGCTTTTGTACTGTGGGAAGTTGTCAGGGGACAGAGGAGAGGAACACAGACACATTTCTTTGCAGTTGTGGCTCCCTCCCTCTGTGCCTGTTCCTCTTCTTTGTCACCCCTCTTGCTGCAGCACTGTTGTATCCAAAGAAAATCCCAGTGAAGGTCACATTCACCAGCTGCTGTTGGGACAGGGATTTTATGGCTTTCCAGCTCTGTGTCAGCCTCTTGAATTCCACCTGTGCTGTACTCCAGGTGCCTAAAGTGCTTTCATGCCTCTTCCACCAGAGGCAAATGAGAACGGGGAATTGGTGTGTGTCTACGGAATAAATAAACTTCCCTAACAATCTCTCAGATGCCTGCATCTGCCTTTCTGTTTCCCAAGGAGAGCTCCACCAGGGAAGTGTAAATACAAGCCTGTTCCACTGAAAACAAAAAACAAGGGAATACTATTTCTTGCATGAGCAAGTAAGTTGTTGAGCTTTGATTTCAGTGAGAAGCAAAACATAAACTTACAGGCATGTGATTGAAACTTCAGGAGTGTTAACAACTACAGTACTGAGCAGGAGCAATCCTGAAATTTGGTTATCTCATTTAATGTGATAATCAGACACAACTTCTGCTGTCTGCCTGATGCTGTGCCTTTGCTTAACCCCAGTCCCTGATTTTTTTTTTCCCCCCTAAGTTTTCAATCTTCCTTTTTCCAAGCAGCCTTCTGTCTTGAAGTCCCATGCAGCTGGGGCAGGAGTTACATCTTGAGTAGAAACCAGTGTTTGTCAAGATGATATTATTTTTTCTGGTATTTCCAGATATTAGTGTATTATGAACAATTCATATTGTTAAGTCTACTGGAGAAGTGTGCAAGGTTTTATCACATTCTGTCTGGAAGTAATTTTCCTTAAATACACATTCATAATTTCTAAAATCAGTAATTTTATTTCCAGGAAAAACAAGGGTCTTTTGATAGAAGAAGAGAGGTTTATAGTATGCATTTCTTCTTTCATAATTTCAGCTGTTTTTCTTGACTATAGGTCTAATAAGTCATATCTCTGAATTAGCCTTTTGCCTTAAAGCAGGAAGGCTGAACCATGTTAATTACTTTCCTCAGAGACTGTCCTTGAGCTTCTAAACAAATCTTCAACAACCATGCCTCCAAAAAAATCTTCTACCTTCACAGCAGCCACCCCAAGAGTTTCTTCTAAGAAAGCAAAAAAGATCCCATCCACCAAAATAAAAGCATCAACAGCGAAACAAACTCCATCTGGTAAAGAGGGACAGAGAGTCAAAGCTGAGGCTAAACCTCACAAGGGAAAGAAGACTAGACACAACTCCAGAACTGCACCAGCACCACCATTGCCAAAAAAGAAGAGTTCCCACCTAGCCAGAATCAAGGAGGTTCTTCCAAAGAAGGCAGCACTAGCTAAGGGAAAAGTGGAGAAGGAAAACAGCTTTTGAAGCTAAATGATGTCCCTGAAAAAGCGAGTAGCCTACAAAATGGTGAACAAAAGTGCTGAATAGTGACCAAATAAAAGAGATTTTGGCTGACTTGTTAGGGGTGCTCCCAGGTGTGCCCCTATTAATGGCAGTGTTAGCAGTCTCTACATATGTTCTATTAAACATATTGAACTTTAACAGCTTCCAAATCCTGCTGTGATGTCCTTTTCTAAGTGGTTATGATAGCCTGTGGTGGGCATTCTCGTAAGATTTGGCTGTGTACGACTGTCTAATAAATCTGACTCTAAATTTCAGAACTTTAATCTTCTACTGAAGAATATGGAATAGACATGTCAATTACCCCACCTTTATTTTTTTTTCTTTGTTTTTGTCCTTTAGCTGAAATGCAGGAAAAAGTGTGTTTCAGGAGTAGTTGTCTTTCAGACAATGAAATTAGATTTTATTTTTTGAAGGTGCTCAGAGGACTGGAGCACTTCTCCTATGAGAGAATCGGGGTTGTTCAGCCTGGAAAAGAGAAGGCTCCAGGGGAATGTTATAGCAGCCTTGTAGTCCCTGAAGGAGGCCCACAAGAGAGCTGGAGATGGACTTTTTACAAGGGCAGGTAGTGACAGGACAAGGGGGAAAGGCTTCAAACTGACAGAGGGGACGTTTAGATTAAATATTAGGAAGAAAATATTCACTAGGAGGGCAGTGAGGCACTGGCAAAGGTTGCCCAGAGAAGCTGGGGATGTCCCATCCTTGAAAGTGTTCAAAGCCAGGTTGGATGATGCTCTGAGCAACCTGGTCTAGTGGAAGGTGTCCCTGCTCATGGCACGGGCTTGGAATGTGATGATCTTTCAAGTCCCTTCCAGCCTAAGTTATTCTATGAATATTTTTTCAAGGTACGGCTCACCTGCAGAATTCATAGGGTCCAGTAAGGGCTGGAAATGTCCAGCACCTCTGAAACACCAACACAAAGCACTGGATGCCAAGCAAACCCCCCAAGACCCCGCGTTAGAGCCGAGACATGGGCTGGAGCCATCCTGCGACTCCAGATCCCACGCGGTGGAAGCGGCGCCGTAACAATCTCGCTGTTCAGATCCAGGGAAATGATGGATTGGGGAAGCGGAGCCGGGATCGCCCTTGCACTCCTGGCCACGGAAACAGCCGAGCCCATGTCGTCAGTTTGTAGCTCCGACACTTCATTCGTCTCCCACCGCTGCCCTCTGCAGGCGCCGTGCCGGGATGCAAAAGGCAACCCCCGCGGCCCGCTCTTTCCGGAATCCCCCAGCTCGGTCAGGGGAGAGACAATATTTAAAAAGAAATAAAAAACTAAGCACGAAAACTCACAGAGGCCCCAGCGAGGATCGAACTCGCGACCCCTGGTTTACAAGACCAGTGCTCTAACCACTGAGCTATGGAGCCTTGCATGGGTTTTTTTTACTGCCGATAGCTCCTGTCCCTGTGCGGGGCAGCCTCCCTGGCGGTGCCGTGGGGTCCCTGACCTCAGCTGGGGCTGGGCCCGGGGCAGCCCCTTGGAGCCCTCTGTGGGCGCCGTACCTGCAGCACCCCAGGCCTGAGCTGGGCCTCTGGACGTCCTCCGGGAAAAAGCTGCCCTTGGCGGGGGAGGGAATCTAGCTTCCGGGCCACCTCCGCAGCGTTACCCGAAGATGACGGGGAGCCCTTCCCGTGTTGATGAAAGGGCGATCGCATCTGCCGCGGATTGAGGGTGGACGTGCCTTGGAGAGGGGAGTTTCGGTGGCACAGGGGAGAATTGCTCCGAGGAGTGACTCCCGCTTCTCCCGGGCATCTCCCACACTGAGAGGGAGGGAGCAGCCGCTGCCTGAGTCAAGGTTTTGGGAGGTAAGACTGCACACCTGGTTTTGTGCGGAGTGGGGAGACAGTCACTTTAAGCAGATGATAGCTCCGTGTTGTAATTCTCCTCCGTGTTGTAATTCCTTTTGTGAAATCACTGTTGCACAAAAAGTGGTTTAACTCTTGAAAATATAAACCACACGTCTCGTTTGACTGGGGTAAGAACCCAACAGCAAGACAGGAAGTGTGAAGCCTTAATTTTTTTTGATTTTTACTATCGAAGTTTGAAGCCATTTGACGATTTTTCTCTTTTTCTTTGCATAAAAGAACCAGTCTGTCACATACTCCATGTGACGGCTTAGGTGAAGGTGAGAAGGTGAGCTGTGCCGAGGAAGTGGAGAGACTGTGGAATTATAAATCCAGCAGCTCTGCTGTACACCAGTCACGTTCTACAAAAGCAGACATGATTTGCTGGGTGCAAGCATCAAGCTGTGTATGACCAAAAGTACAGCTCCTTGAAATGAGAATAGACAGAAAAAGCTTTATTACGCAGCTAAAGACCTTTCATCCGTCCCACACTCCACAAATCATGAACTAGGTCAATTTCCTCTTCTTTTTTTTTTTTTTTTTTTTTTTTTTTTTTTTTTTTTTCTTTGTTTTTATTTTACTTTTTCTTTTTTAACTTTTGCCTTAAAGCAGGAAGGCTGAACCATGTTAATTACTTTCCTCAGAGACTGTCCTTGAGCTTCTAAACAAATCTTCAACAACCATGCCTCCAAAAAAATCTTCTACCTTCACAGCAGCCACCCCAAGAGTTTCTTCTAAGAAAGCAAAAAAGATCCCATCCACCAAAATAAAAGCATCAACAGCGAAACAAACTCCATCTGGTAAAGAGGGACAGAGAGTCAAAGCTGAGGCTAAACCTCACAAGGGAAAGAAGACTAGACACAACTCCAGAACTGCACCAGCACCACCATTGCCAAAAAAGAAGAGTTCCCACCTAGCCAGAATCAAGGAGGTTCTTCCAAAGAAGGCAGCACTAGCTAAGGGAAAAGTGGAGAAGGAAAACAGCTTTTGAAGCTAAATGATGTCCCTGAAAAAGCGAGTAGCCTACAAAATGGTGAACAAAAGTGCTGAATAGTGACCAAATAAAAGAGATTTTGGCTGACTTGTTAGGGGTGCTCCCAGGTGTGCCCCTATTAATGGCAGTGTTAGCAGTCTCTACATATGTTCTATTAAACATATTGAACTTTAACAGCTTCCAAATCCTGCTGTGATGTCCTTTTCTAAGTGGTTATGATAGCCTGTGGTGGGCATTCTCGTAAGATTTGGCTGTGTACGACTGTCTAATAAATCTGACTCTAAATTTCAGAACTTTAATCTTCTACTGAAGAATATGGAATAGACATGTCAATTACCCCACCTTTATTTTTTTTTCTTTGTTTTTGTCCTTTAGCTGAAATGCAGGAAAAAGTGTGTTTCAGGAGTAGTTGTCTTTCAGACAATGAAATTAGATTTTATTTTTTGAAGGTGCTCAGAGGACTGGAGCACTTCTCCTATGAGAGAATCGGGGTTGTTCAGCCTGGAAAAGAGAAGGCTCCAGGGGAATGTTATAGCAGCCTTGTAGTCCCTGAAGGAGGCCCACAAGAGAGCTGGAGATGGACTTTTTACAAGGGCAGGTAGTGACAGGACAAGGGGGAAAGGCTTCAAACTGACAGAGGGGACGTTTAGATTAAATATTAGGAAGAAAATATTCACTAGGAGGGCAGTGAGGCACTGGCAAAGGTTGCCCAGAGAAGCTGGGGATGTCCCATCCTTGAAAGTGTTCAAAGCCAGGTTGGATGATGCTCTGAGCAACCTGGTCTAGTGGAAGGTGTCCCTGCTCATGGCACGGGCTTGGAATGTGATGATCTTTCAAGTCCCTTCCAGCCTAAGTTATTCTATGAATATTTTTTCAAGGTACGGCTCACCTGCAGAATTCATAGGGTCCAGTAAGGGCTGGAAATGTCCAGCACCTCTGAAACACCAACACAAAGCACTGGATGCCAAGCAAACCCCCCAAGACCCCGCGTTAGAGCCGAGACATGGGCTGGAGCCATCCTGCGACTCCAGATCCCACGCGGTGGAAGCGGCGCCGTAACAATCTCGCTGTTCAGATCCAGGGAAATGATGGATTGGGGAAGCGGAGCCGGGATCGCCCTTGCACTCCTGGCCA